AAACTACAGTGTGGGCCATTTGTATGGATTCACGGTAATAACATGGGAATGGTTGGTGATATTAAAGTCCTGTTTGTGGCACATTAGTATATGTGAGGGGGCAAACTCCTCAAGATGGGTGGTGACCACGGTGGCCATTTAGAAGTCGGCCATCTTGGATACAACTTTTGTTTTTTCAATAGGAAGAGGGCCATGTGACACATCAGACTTATTGTAATGTCACAAGTTTGCCCCCTCACATATACTAATGTGACACAAACAGGACTTTAGTATCACCAACCATTCCCATGTTATTACCATGTATCCATACAAATGGCCCACCCTGTATATAATATTTTAAGTATTAAGTATTAGGGTAGGATGTATTCATTTTAATTTATTGTAAAGGAAAACTTGTTTATTTTTTTATTCATACCTGAGAATTAGTCATTTCTTTTTGGGATCATGGCACAAACTGAGGCCTGAAAGAAAGGGAGTCAACTGTGTTAGTGTTAACAGCTCTAATGCTAACCAGGCGCATTTGTTTTCCTCTAGACTCTGTTACTTCAGCACCAACAGGTGGAATGAATCAGTCAGGTAAGAAGCATTACATTTTCAGTGTTTTTCTGAGGCACTGTTCTCTTCTTATCACTTTGAAAGTCAGAGAAGCCTAACCAGCCTAACCATCAACAAAAGAGTGAACTGCAGCTATTTCTCTGTAAACCCCCGAGGTGATCATGTGGGAAAATTCCAGTAGATCAGCATTTTGTGAAATACTCAGACCAGCCTATATGGCACTAAAAGCCACTATCAAAATCACTTAAATTACGATCAGTTTGAACTTGAGGGTTTTTTGACATGCCTACATGTCACTGGCTGATTAAATATTTGATTTCATGTGCAGTTGAGCAAGCTTATCTAATAAAGCGTCTGGTTAGTGAATACAAACAGTTGGACATAGCAAAGTCTCCAGATCCAACATTATATATCAGCTTTACTTTTCATTGGATATAAATAGTGTGAACAACACATGATGGTTAATGTTTCCTTGTCTTTTCAGGCCTGACCTGGAGACTAATTATTCTTCATGCTTTGGCGTGCTTATTGGTTTGCACATAGAAGAGGAAATTTATATATTTATATACATTAACAGACACAAGCCTGTAAATTTACATAGAATCTAAATCCCACCTGTCCAGCAGAGACCTAAATAAAAGCTTTGCTAAAGGATGCGTGTTTGCTCATTCTTTTTCCAGAGGATGTGAGATGTTACTGTCATTCCTTTTAATTAGGTCGATACCTTTGTAAGGTAGTGGAGACCTTTGTTTGTTTTTGCAGACAATCACAACCAAACACAGCATATCTTTTCATACAGCAGGTAAAACTAAGTGCAAGTATTGAATACGTCACCAGTTTTCTTAGTAAATATATTTCTAAAGGCGCTATTGACATGAAATCATCACCTCATCTCAGTAACAACCCATCCAATCCACACATGCAAAGAAATCAAATCATAGATGTCGGGTTAAATTTGCTTGTTTGGGATTTTTTTTTGCCCCTCCGCTGATGGCTACCTTATCGTGGTTGAGGGGTTTGTGTGTCCCAGGGATCCCAGGGGCTATGTTGTGTGGGGGCTTTTGCCCCCTAGTAGGGTCTCCCATGGCAAATTGGTCCTGACAAAGAGCAATTCAGAAGACCCCTATGAAAAGACCATCGGGAACAGTTTACCCTGCCCGGGTTAGGGTTACTGGGGCCCCGCCCTGAAGCCAGGCCCGGGGTGGGTGCCCGAGGGCGAGCATCTGGTGGCCGGGCCTTAGTCCATGGATCCCGGCTGGCCACAGCCCGAAAAAGGGACATGAGCCCATCTTCCTGCAGGCCCACCACCCGCAGGAGGCACCGTGGGGGTTGGGTGCAATGTGAGTCGGGCAGCAGCCAGGAGCGGAGGCCCTGGCGGACCAATCCCCGGCTACCAAGACTGGCAACTGGGACATGGAATGTCACCTCTCTAGTGGGGAAGGAGCCTGAGCTAGTGCGTGAGGTTGACAGGTACCAGCTAGATATAGTCGGGCTCACCTCAACGCTTGCCCTGGGCTCTGGAACCAGTCTCCTAGAGAGGGGCTGGACTCTGTCTCAGTCTGGAGTTGCCCCTGGTGAGAGGCGTCGGGCTGGGGTGGGTATCTTGGTACCCCCTCGGCTTGCTACTGGTATGTTGGGGTTTTTCCCAGTGGACGAGACGGTTTGTTCCCTTCGCCTTTGGGTCAGGAAACGGGTCCTGACTGTCATCTGTGCTTATGCTCCGAGCGGCAGTTCAGAGTACCCAGCCTTCTTGGAGTCCCTGAGTGGGGCACTGGAGGGTGCTCCTCCTAGGGACTCTGTTGTCCTACTGGGAGACTTCAATGCTCATGTGGGCAATGACAGTGAGACCTGGAAGGGCGTTATTGGGAGGAACGGCCTCCCGGATCTGAACCCGAGCGGTGTTTTGTTATTGGACTTCTGTGCTAATCACAGTTTGGCCATAACGAACACCCTGTTCAAACATAAGTGCACGTGGCACCAGGACACTCTAGGCCATAGGTCGATGATCGATTTTGTAATCATATCACCAGACCTGAGGCCATATGTTTTGGACACTCGGGTAAAGAGAGCGGCTGAGCTGTCAACTGATCACCACCTGGTGGTGAGTTGGATCAGGACCCAAATGTACAGTGAGGGTGTGCTGGGAACGTCTAGCAGAGTCCCCAGTCTGCGACATCTTCAACGCACACCTCCGGCAAAGCTTCAACAGCATTCCGAGGGAGACTGGGAACATTGAGTCCGAATGGACCATGTTCAGCGTCTCCATTGCCGAAGCTGCTGCACGGAGCTGCGGCCGCAAGGTGGTTGGTGCCTGTCGTGGTGGTAACCAACCTACCGGGCTTGGTTAGCCTGTGGGACTCCGGAGGCAGCCGATAGGTACCGACAGACCACCATCAGAGCCAGCGCCTAAACTGGATGCGCAGGTTGGGGCTCCAGCATAACGTCCAGGATTTGGCACCACTGGAAAGACTTGGTACTGTGTGTGATGTTCATGATTAACATGCCTAACATGAACAACAGAATTCTGGAGAATATGGAAATTTGTTTTTGTAAAGTTCTGCTGTAAAAAGTGACTGTAAAATGTGTTGGGTTCATTTTATGGTAAATAGCCTGTAGTTGTATAGTGATGTCAAGTAAAAAATAAAACACAAATATGTGATTCTAATTATGAGATATGAGCCTTAGAGAAATACATCCCAACAAATGTAAAAACTGATGGGACCAGTTTTTACAAGTTGTCTGTCTAGTCAAAGTCTGATTTAAGAATGAGGGTTGCGGACTACTCGTGTCACTAGGGCAGGGCAGGGATAGCTCAGTAGGTAGAGTGGTGGCCCCATGATCGGAAGGTCGGGGGTTCGATTCCCCTGAACAGCTACCCTGAGGTACCCCTGAGCAAGGTACCGTCCCTACACACTGCTCCCCGGGCGCCCAATGGCTGCCCACTGCTTCACTGAGTGAATGGGTTAAATGCAGAGAGGGATTTTCCCCACGGGGACCAATAAAGTACTCTTTCGTTCTTTCTAAACTTCTAATTTTATCTTTTGGGAACCTGCACAGGAAAGAAAATCAGAGCGAACAATACTACAGCTCTAAATGCTTTTGTCAATACAATTCAGGTGCATGTATTTCTGACAAGATTTGTTCCTAACACAAATACACCAACACACACATCTTACCCCTGACCTCCTAACAGCACCTCAAAACTGTTTCTGGGTTCTGATCTTCCTCACTGTCATCATCAGTTTGCCTGCCCTCAGTGAGTGCATGGTCCTCACTGGACAATATGTGCATGTTTATATTATTAACTTTCTAATCTGACATCCCATTCTGTACTCAGCTGACCTGTCAAATGTACAAATATATTGTGGTATTTGTATAAAATATTCTTATATGTGCTTTATGTATTTAATTTTCTTTATGCAAAGTTTCATCAAGATCAGTCATGTTTGCCTACTGGTGGTGGTCAGAGGGCCCGGTGGCGCCAGTGTCCGGCAGCCTCGCCTCTGTCAGTGCGCCCCAGGGTGGCTGTGGCTACAATGTAGCTGCCATCACCAGTGTGTGAATGTGGTGGATGACGGTGTGTAAGCTGTCCTTGGCTAGTAAAGCGCTTATCAAATGCAGGCCATTTACCATTTACCCTTAGAAAAGTGATCCAAAGGCATAATGTTGATATTTCAGTTTAAACATGGATAAAAAGGATATTAATCTCACAGATTTGGTTGTTGAACTAGAGACTAGCTCCGTGTATACCTGTGCTGTTAGACCAGCAGAAGATGATCTCAAGAATAAAACTAGGTCTGGTTTCAATTCAATTTTGGGGAAACCTGCAGTCATCTGAGACCAAAGCAGTCACCTGGATGAGTGATGAAACGTTTCTCCCACTGAAAACGCTGCGTCCACATGAACAGAATCAACCTTTTGGGATTTCCTTACCTGGATTATTGAGCATGCATCAAGACCTTTCCGAGTTCTAGCATATTTTTCACTTTGTTTCAGATCATCAAAACATTTTACTATTACATAAAGATAACTCCAGTAAAAACTCTGCATTTTTAAAGTGAAGATTTCATTTTAGATTGAGTAAGTTAACCATTTGTCACGGCTGTTTCGTGTAATGAATGGAATCAACTATAAACTGCATGCTGTATTTACTAGGGACATCTATGTTCGACATTAACATTTGTTTGATCGAAATAATGAAAATATGACAAATGTGCAAAAAAATAAGGAAATGGGAAGGTGGGACTTCCCAAAGCGCCGCGTCACGAGAATCTGTTTCACCTGCTCGGGTCGTTTTTCCCCCTGATTGTTATTTTTTTCCAGTTTATTTCTTCCTGTCACACAGTGGCATTTGTGATATTTTGTACTTCTCACATAAATTAATCCATTTATGATGAAGGGTTTTTCTTTTTACCATGGAAATAGCCAACTCCAGCAACAGAACAAATCAATTATGCAGCATTTATTGTCAGGTCTTTTATATGGTTTGGGAAACTTGGCATAGGCAATGAAAACAATAAATATGACATTTTCCCTAATGTAGCATTTTACACAATGTACAATGTGTTTCTTTCTCCACAGCTTGCTTGATAAGGTTCTATACACATTTCCAAACAAATAAACATATCTCCATTCAGAAACCCTGAAAATGGGATGTGCACAAAAAAAGATAATAAAACACTAAATGCATTTCTCGTATGAATTTGTGTCAATAAAAACTGCTAATAAACCACAAAGAGAAATGAAAAGTTGTGCTGTTTAATCGACATAAAACAGATTAGAAAATGGCCCATCTGCTTAAGAGTTTCCTACGATGGTGCGGTTTGGATAATACTGGCTGTTCCTGCTCATTTCTGCCGAGTTTATTTGTGTGCGTGTGAAGAACTGCTTGGATCAGTAGTCAGTGTCAGAGCCCTCGGCATTGTCCACGTTTCGGGAGAGCATGTAGTTGTCCATGTCGATGGAGCGGCAGTTATTGATGGCGTAGCGCAGCCTCTCAGCCATGACAGCCTGGCTTGAGTACGGAGGCAAGCGCAGCTGGAAGAAACATGTCTGAGAGGTGGGCAAGCTGTCGTAGGGCTGTGGAGGACACACAACAAATTCCAAATTACTTAAACCTCACACAGTGTCGTTCTGTGGCAGGCCAAACGCTGCTCTCCTAAATTCAATTCAGTTGGTACCAAATCACAACAACAGTCGCCTCAAGGCACTTTATATAATAAGGTAAAGAACAAACAACAGTACACTAATGATTTAATGGAAAGTGAGTGAATGTGAGTGAAGAAGAAACATGCAAGTGGTCATGCATCATGAGAAGCCCCAGCAGGTCCGGCCTACTGCAGCATAACGAAGGAAGGGTTCACGGTCATCCCAGCTATACGCTTTATCAAAAATGAAAGTCGGATCTTAAAAATACAGACGGTCTCCGTCTGGCAAATCCACACTGGGTGGTGATGACACAGAAGACGGACGTGAAAGCTCAAGGCTCTGGCTCCCAGTCTGCGCTACTTTTAAATACCCTGGTGGAAGTGATGGTTTTTGGTGGCGCTTCTGAGGCCACTACTATAGATCTTGGTTCGCTGGCACAGTATGTTAAACCAGTCATCACTAATCTGTTAAAATAGAGGCAAATCTTAAACTTGAAAGCCAGGTCAGAGCTGTTGTCAGATCTAGCTTTGTTCATTTGAGGGATTTAGCCAAAATAAAGCCGTTCTTATCGAAACAGCATTGTGAGACAGTAATCCATGCCTTTGTTACTTCTAGGCTGGATTATTGTAACGCACTTTATTGTGGGGTTAGTGATGCAGCTCGTCTTTTAACTGGAACAAAAAAGTTTGAGCACATTACCCCAATTTTAATTTCACTCCACTGGCTACCTGTACGTTTCAGGATTGTTTTTAAAATTCTCTTATTTGCTTTTAAATCTCTTGATGGCCTGGCCCCCCCTCTCGGAGCTACTACAACCATATACACCTGCCCGTTCCCTTAGGTCCGCCAATCAGCAGCTGCTTAAGGTACCGAAAACTTAGTATAAATCTAAAGGTGATCGTGCTTCTGCTGTAGCTGCTCCACAGCTGTGGAACGATCTGCCCGTGCATGTTAGGCCTCTTCTCTCTCTGAATTTAAAAGTCTTCTTAGAACATATTCATTCGCTGAAGCCTTTGGCATTGATTAGAGGGGTGACTCAATTTGTTTTAACATGTTTCAATTTATTTTAGTTTTTTAGTTATTTATCTTATCTCATTTAAATTTTCTTTACTTATGCTATTAGCATGTACAGCACTTTGTGAACTCTGGTTTTATGTTAAAGTGCGTTATAAATAAAGGTGGTATGGTGTAACATAATATTGCCTAGATAACCTCTTCTCCATGTTTGCTGTGGGGAATGGGCACTAGTTTGGGAGTGGTTTGATGGGGTTGTATTAACTAAGGCAGGTGTGTTTGATTGCACTGACGCTGGTCTACTTGTAGCCCACACGACAAGCAAGATATTTTGTGTCTCTGTGCAGGTGTGGCACAGATTCAAGATAACGTCGCCTAAATATGTTTATGATGGACAGTCTGTTGCTCTGTGAATTCTATAATTAAGATGTTTAATGGACAAATGAAACTTCATTACTCGAAGCTTTTCAGCACGAAACTCTGGTGGCCAAAAATATGAAGCGCAGCTTGAATCTAAAAATTTAATGAACTGCTCTACAGAACCTGTGACGTCTTGATATTTTTTATTCATAAAAAAAAAAAAAGACTATATATAATAATGTGCAACACACTCTTATAATAGGCTGGGACTACGCCTGTGCTGTGAGGTCCCTGCCTCTGCCTGATTATGTATTTCACCAGTGACCAAAGCTTATATAATACCACACCAACATAAAACCAGGGTTCACAAAGTGCTGTACATATACAAAAAGCATAAACACATAAAATAAAATTTTATTTAATTTAATAAAAGCTACAGCCCCTTTGGAGCAGCCTCCTCAAAAGCACCTCTAAATGTATACTTAGTTTTTGGTGCCTTAAGCAGCTGCTGATTGGCGGACGTAAGGTAGCGGGCAGGTGTATATGGCTGTAGTAGCTCCGAGAGGTAAGGGCCAATTAGAGATTTAAAAACAAAAGAACTAAAAGGTACAGGTAGCTGGTGGAGTGAAATTAGAATGGAGGTAATGTGCGCAGACCTTTTTGTTCCAGTTAAAAGGCGCACTGCATCACAATAAAGTGCGTTACAATAATCCAGCCTAGATGTAACAAAGGCGTAGATTACTGTCTCAAAAAGCTGCTTTGATAAGACGGGCTTAAATTAAAAAAAGCTCTGACCAAGTTTAAGATCTGCCTTCATGTTAACTCCCAGATTAGTGATGGTTAGAATTCTATCACTATATATGTACGGTGCATTTCTTATGTACAGTTCAGACCTGTGGGTAGAACTCCTTATTAAAGTGGTTTTTATTCAGGAATAGGCAGAACATCGTCTTTTTGTTGCTGACTCCATATCTCAATGTCGCACAGCAGTTCACTATGTCTCGCACAAAAGACCACAAATGCTGCCAGTGATTCACTTCCTTATAAACCAATGAATCAGGTACTGAAGGAGTGATGTGCTGATGAACAAAGCCTCGGCACAGTGTTTCTGAAGCACTGTGCTGTTTTTTTGACACCTGCATCTTAATTAATTCACTAATTAAGATGCAGGCCAGGGCTACTATGAGCCCGAGCCTGAAGGCAGAGTCGGTTTGTGAGGCTGAGGACAAACCGCCCTACGTTTTAAGATTAAGGTAATGGCTGGAGAGTAAAAAGTGTGGACACAGCAGCAGTTGGAAGATATAATTTGAGATGGATCTTGGCTGGGTGAGAGAGCGCCCATCAGGATGCAGGTGTGAGGACCGGTTGCTATAGTGACTCTTGTCAGGTGACCCAGACTTCTGTCAGCTTCAGGTTGAAATAGACAGAAATTTGTCTCTGAAATGCTTCCTAAGAGAAAACTGTTGTATAAGGAAACTTCTTTCACCGTGAGCGCCAACAACTCCTAGTCTACAAATTCTTAAATTTTCCCATCTGTAGAGTTTAGTATGTGGATGTCGTGACAGTGTGGAAACAGCCTGCGATTCGGATTTTCACATGAAATTTAGACGGTTTTCACATTGTTCCCTGTGGAAGAGTTGGACGGAGGAGGCAGCGCTTTGGGGACATTTATGAGAGACAAATATCTATCACAATAACCGGGGATGAAAGCGGACACCCGTGGCTATTATTTTAGAGTAAAATGATGGATTTTTGGTTTCATTCAGCCCATTTTTCAATTTTGTGCTTCTACTTTTTACACTAAAGTTGACTGATAATTTGGTAATCTAATTAAATTAAGCTCATTCAGGAAGTTCAGCGTTGACTTCAAATATTTTTAAACACTTCAGGCAAAATCTTTAAATTTCCAGCATTCACACTGCCAGGAAATGCAAAAATATGTTATTGTACACTCATAACGATAGTTAATAGTGTCCTGAGTTACGCAGCGGTCCATTGAAGATGGGAGAACCAAAAGAACCAAAATGCCCCCAGATTAACTTAGACTGAGGTCCTCTGTCTCTGAACTGCCTCATCCAGAGAAAAGTTATTTTCCCTGCTCAGCTCATTGCCAATAAACCATCCTAAATATCACTTAGATTCCCCAGGGATTTAAGGAAAATAATTGGGCATTGTTTCATGATGACAATGCACCGCTCTACTTACCCTGTCCACCTTCATGATCTGAAACCTCTGGGAGATATCAGCTGTGTTAGCAGGGAGCCTCGAGCGACCTGAGACAAAGCGCATGAAGAGGACACGCTCCTCGTTGGAGAACTCCTCCAGGGTCTGCCAAAACCACTGCACCAAGGAGTGCTGTTCATCCACCTCTCTGTAGCGCACCACCTTCTTGAGCACATCGCAGCAGATCTCTGGCATGCCACAAACCATCTGCTCCAGCTGCTTGGCAGTGAGCAGGGACAGTAGCGGCACCGGCACGATCCACGACATGCCCTCACGCACTGCTGCCACCTGGGAGAGATGAGCCCACAGGAGAAGACTTATGTCCGTGTTAAGGCCAAAATCACGTTTTAGCTAACGGTCAGATCAGCTAAAGAGACGTTCTTGTTTGTTTCCAGTCCTGCGCACAGCTTGCTGTTATTAGGTTTTCCATGTTGAAACAGCAGACAAACACTGTGTTCCTGTATCTGGATCATCTGTTCATTCCCCTGTGAATGCTCAGTGGCTAACAACTGGTGACTGAGAAGTCCTTAGCCAACGAAGTTTTGAAACAGTATGACCAAGACGTACAAGTTCAGTTCAATTTCATATGACCCAAATAAACTCCAAAGGAGAGTCAAGTCAAAATGCTTCCCAGACGTCTATCCGAAGTCTTTACTTACAACCACAGCTATGGCCAATAAGTGGGTCTTTGACCCAACACAGGTTTAAAACACTTCCACACGCGCTTCTTTTTTATGACTTTGAAGTTAATCCATGTTTTTAATAAACACATATTTATTTATTTTTTAAAAAAAAGAAAAAAAAACACTGTGAAAAGAGTCAACATCGACGAGCTCGTCCTGATGTCTCCAAACAGGAAACATAAAACACTGAGAATCTGACTCCATCCAATCTGAGGTAAAATAGTAACATTTTACTATTTCCATATCATTGCATGATTTGACTTACAATCGCATTTGTTGCCCAAGGCAGTGATCTGATTGGTCACAGATCTGTTTATTCAGATCCAGAAAACTGGAAAAATGGAGTTTGTGCTGCTGTACTGAAGAGGTGAGTCCGAAAAATATTTTTAATACACAAAATATTCGCATGGATTTGACATGTCTGGTGTGTAAAGGCCTTTTCTGTACCTGACGGTTGATTTCATGCAGTCTGTACTCAATAGCTCTTTCCACATATTCCTTCCTGTTGGAGAAAGTGAGAGGGATGCTGTTCCCTCCTGGGATAATGGGGACCATTTTACCATCTGCACTCTGCCCGACAAAGGAATCCAGAGGAATCATCTGCAAAACAAACACAAAAACTGTGAGTACTGGCAAAGAGCTCAGAGGTTAGAGAACTTCACTTCATAAAGAAAGGACCTGTGATGGAATTACATTAATGATTTAAAAATATACCTAAAATCTCCACATCTCTAAGTCCTAAATAATAAACCTTGGGCCCTGTGGATCAGTGACAATTAATCTTTGTCCCCAGATCTGAGTTTGATAAGACAAACTGCTGTTTTTCTATTTGAACGCGTAGTTAAAAAGCAGTTATGTCCATGGCCTAAAAGAAGCGGATCAAAATGAGGCTTTGTACTAGAATATGACAATTATATTATCAAAGAGAATGCAGTAGAAAGACAAGCAAAGCATAAAATACAAGTCAATAACGTATGGTAAATAAAGGCCACTGTATGGTTTTCTATAAAAGCTTTCCACTAAATCTAACAACCGTTCATTGTTCTGTTCATTGATTCATTTCATCCAACGCATGAAAGCTCATGTGGCAGAAATGAGCTCTCATCTGCAGCGTCTTTTCTTCAGTATTCCTCTCCTCACCCCCATCTGGCTCCTCCTCCCTGAGCCTGCTGGAGGTTTCTTCCTGTTAAAAGGGCATTTTTCCTTCCCACTTTCGCCAAGTGCTTGCTCATAGGGGGTCTTTCGATTGTTGGGCTTTCTCTGTATTACTGTAGGGTCTTTACCTTTCACCCTATAAAGCCTAAAAGCGCAAATCAGTCTGTGCATAACTATATATTGCTCTGCCCATGTCGAATGTCGGTTGGAAAGATTTTAGATATTGCCCAACGTTAGACGATACCCAGCCCGCTTTGCCAATGTAGCCGCTCCCCCGGCCTAATTCCAGGTTGGACCCAGGTAAGCCTGTCTCAAGCAAAGTACCATTACACAGGCTTTCTTTCATATTTCAACTGTTCGTAAATGTAGACATCTGCTTTTTCTCTGTTGCACTAAAAATGAACCAAACACTGAATTTAATGTTCTATTAAACAACCCCAGTTAACACTGCTGAATGAATGGATGTGTTTGTGGCTGCTGGCTTGCTTTAGTGTGGTTTCAATATAAGTATAATCCTCACACGAACATACAATCAAAATGCTTTTCTAACCTCATGGAAATTATCCTCCGTGATGCCGCTGTCTTCAATGTGAAGAATGCTTTTGAGTGTCTGCACATAGAGCAGGTCCACTTCCTCCAGGTCCTCCAGCAACAAGGGGATGCAGCACAACTGCTTCCAAACCAAAGGAGCCAAGTGCAGATCCAGGGGCTTCTTGGTGCGGATGGCTACCCCCATAAGAATACCTAAGAATTTAAACTGGAGCATGTGCTCATCCAGGCATGCTGACGGGTTGAGGAGGAATCTATCAAAATCAGAATCAGAATACTTTAATAATCCATAAGGAAACTATGTGGGTTTCAGTTGCTCCAAGGCAATAACAGTAACAGACTATTACAAAGTTTACACATTTAAGAAATAGCACAATATACACGCATACAAATCGCTCAATTATACATATCAAGAATATTATAGAGGTGAAATGTATATGATTGACATTTGACTCTAACCTGTGAAACTTTGTCATTCGTTATTTTACTGTAGAGCGTGTGCAAAGGGTGTAATTGTTGCAGTGTGTACGGCGTATTAGATGGAGGAGTTCCACAGGCAGGAATGATTTCCTGTGTCTCAGTCCATGCGCCTGTGACTGGCTAGCAAGTCATGCAGTGTGTGGGAGGTGCTGTCCATCACTGTCCTTATCTTGGACAACAGCCACCTGTCAGAAACACCCTAAGAGAGTCCAGCTCCATCCCCACAACATTACTGGCCTTGCCGAGCAGTTGATTGAGTCTGTTGGCATGCTGTCCCAGAATGCAACAGCATAGAGGATGGCACTGGCCACAACAGACTCGTAAACAATCCTGAGGGAGTGGTGCAGCTCTGGATACGGCTGTAGGTGGCTGAGCATTCACTGCAGTGTCGTAAACAGCCACCAACATTACAAGGGTAAATTCCCTGATCAAATAATACGGCCCAAGTCTTTGATTGTTATGTTTGTTTGTTAACAAGAACAGCAAGCCCTCTTCCTTTCTGCTTACCGCTCGTGGCGCTGTCCCTGTCCGCCCGAACAGTGTGGAAGACACACTGTCCACTGCCATCGGGAATACCCCGGTGCATCCGTGATTCGGTGAAACACATCAAGCTACACTCACGATATTCCCTCTGACTCCGTGTCAGCGCTGTTAGCTCGTCCATCTCGTTTGCTAGCAACCGAACGTTCCCCAAAATAATAGACGGCAGACACGCTTTGAAGCCTCCGCTGAAAAATGTGGAACGCTTCACGAATTTACGTGTCATCCTTGCGCAGAGACCATGCTAATCTTCCCTGTATCATATCCAGTTTAGCGCATGCCATCAAAGAAATGTCTTTCTTTTATTTCAAACAAAGGATTAGTTACTCTCTTAAAGTCCTACAACTTCCAACACATTAACTGACCTACATGTTTCATTAAGGTCTTCTCACCTGTCTCTGTTGTAGCCAACCTCTGCTGTGGCATTGGGAGATGGGATGAGCAGGTCCACAACTCCTGTCTCCAACTCCTATGGATAGATATACATGACAGTGAAGAAGTAGTAGCTCTAGTACATCAGACATCCAGTAAACAGCTGGAATAAAATTTGTTCTAACAAGTCCAGATGTTTACATACCTGACACATCTCTGTGATGGTGTCATCAAAGACCCCTCCTGCATCATCAGCACCTTCTCCAACTAGTTTGACCTTCCAGGCTCTTGAAGGAAGTCGGAGATCTGAAGCATTCAACTTTACAACTTGCCGAGCAATCTGTACAAAGATTGGTTTACACTTCCGACCTCTGCAGAGTTCAAATGTGATGGAAAACCAAAGTGAAAAGGAAGAAGGGGATTTTAAGTTTACCTTTAAGCACAAAATTATATTTATAACATCAGTAGCTGATGAAGTAGTTATGCATCTATTTTTTTATGCAGTACAACAATTCCACCCTGGAACAGTTTAAAACAACCATTAAAACCTTCATACCAGTGGTGAGTGTATGGAAACCTCTGAACTGCAGGCTAAAAGTAGTTACCAGTACTGACCGTGTGGAGATGCGTTTGACAGTGATCTGGGGACCGTAGTTCTTGCCCTGCACCATGGTCTTGCCTATCGACCGCACCATAGGCAGCGTATACACTCTGGGAGCCAAAAGGGGCCTTAACTGGCCCTGGACGATTCCCCAGGTACCGGCGTTGTAATGGGAGGTACAGCTCTGCAGAATTAAAATGACATTTAGTATTTACTAATTAAGAGGAGCCCCAAATCTTTTCCCTACTTTTGTGCAACGTCTAAACTATAGGGAAGAAAAAATTCTTTCCAATTAAGATGTAACATAGTAGTCCCCTTTCAGTCCATACAACACATATAGTTTGGGATATCACGCCCCTGCATGTTGTGGCTTAAGGCACCTCTATTCGTGCCCTGTGATGACACATATAGACTTCTGTGATCACATTGATCCTGCAGTTTTCACACTTCACCTGAGCGTAAAAACTGAGGGGATGCCGAGTTGGGCTAGCTACTGATAGTTAGTGCTGCTGTCTGCTGGCATGAAGTCAGTTTAACTGCCTCGTTGGTGTTAGCCTCCACTGTTCAGTTGGTGTGTGGGCTTCCCACAGAGTGGAAATTTCAAGTGTCCTTGTGCAGCACTGTTGCTTTGCATTTTGGCATGAGTACCAAACCAAAGCAAGCAAAGCAGAAATCTTCTGTTTCTCCCGTCCTAATGGGTGCTGTTTGCATGACCAGCATGAGGTTGCCCTGTCTGACTGGGGACTTACCACGCCGGGAAAAGTAAGCCTGTGTATGTTGTTGCCAGCTCCAGGGCTCGACCCTGGAAAGACGGAGAAAGTGATAGAACGGCTGTTGCATTGCAATACCCTCGCTAGGGTTCCAGCTTTTCCAAATCTAGTATCTGGTCGATGTCTCTGCAAATATCTGGACTGACTGAGGATGAACCACGCGGGAGCACTGGCTAGCCTCAGCGGACGCTCACCAACATGGTGACGTGCTGGACATCAGCTTGGGCATTCATCGACATTCTCATGGATGAACAGCAGAGCCTGTTGTTGGCTCAGTGTGCCGTCGCTGCTCCACTTGCAGGCCAAAACAACATCTCTGTTTTTTCCACGTTTCATCACACAGTGGAGAAGCTCAGAGTGGAAAGGCCATCTACAAATCTCTGGCAGTTTGTGGAGTTTTTCCTTCCAGCGAAGCTGACAACAGAGTATAACTGCCTTCCAGTATTCCCAGACTTTGTCTCCGAGCTAACCACTTCACATGTGCCAAGCCACCGTCTTGGGTTAGGGAATCCCCAGCTATGGACAGTATTTAGAGCTGGACAGCACAAAGAAGGCTGGCTTAGCCAACCCGCCTCCTACGGAATGGCTGTAGCTGGTAAATTTACCTTTTACATTTCTGGAGGCATCCCCATTCCACATATATGGTGTAGCTGATCCCGCATCTCTTCCATCCAAGCACTGTACATGCTCTGCATCTCAGCCCGACAAGATTTATAATTCTCAGCCGGGCGCTCATGCCATGAGCTCAGTCACTGTGATACAGTCGCACCAGGCGATGTACCCGGTGCAACTTGGGTCCATTGGTTTCCCCAGACAACTACTTCTACCTTAATGAGAACCAAGTAAAAAATGGAATACATTCTCCGTGCCCTTTGGGGTGTGCTCCCTAACAGAGAGATGGCTTCAATAATAGTAGCACATCTGACCTTTGTCTCAGATAGGGACAGTGCTATCTACTTGGATGAGCCAGTATCTGTTGTCAGGTCATTTGAATCTGAACTGAGGAAGAAGCAGACGGCAGCTTTGCGTGATATCATTCCCAGACATGACACAAATTCCAAGTTCGCAGTTTGGTCTCGCAGGCTAGCTGTTCCTCTTCCCACCGCCGAGAGCGGACCGACTGCTGCTAATGTGGGTGTACCACCAGCAAGAGCCCAGCCTCTGGGGTAACTTCCACGCCAGTCAGCGTGGAGCTAAGATCCACCTTTGGGCCCCAACGCCCAGGAGAAAGACGTCTCAGTCCTCCTAGCTATGGGATTGAGTTAAGAACTGCAGGGAGATGCCGGTTCCCCTATCTGGTGCTGCCCAAGAGGCACTCCTTAAGTCACAAACCCCCTGCGCACAAAAATATATTTTTGCTGTTTCAGGTTGTAATTCCTAGTTCGGACTTGTCAGATGTTCAGGTGACCACAACAGGTAATCCCACGTTTCTCACCCTCATCAGAGAGTCTGAATTTCAGTGCAGAACAGGCTGCACACCAATCACTGAGAGCTCCCAGCCGTGTTTCAAGCTCTCAACTTTCTTTGTCCAGTTCAACAGTGGTCTGTTACACAAACGCCCAGACAGGGGCACGTACCCCTTGACTGTTAAACCTATCTCAGTCTCTGCTTTCATGATTTAGTGTTCATTTTCTGTCTCCAAGAGCCACACATGCTGGGGCTAGACTTTCTCTCCAGGCAGGAACCCCAGAGGGGGGAATGAATATTACACCCTTTACTAGTGGCCAGTTGTGGGATCTGTTTGTCGAGGCAAAAGTAGACCTTTTTGCCTCCAGGGTGAAGACTTACTGCCCTCATTCTTCTCTGCAATTGACCACGACGCAACCATTTCCATCGGAGGACTCTGGACAAGGGGCCACCAACCTACTGAGAGGTCAATTTCACCAACTGCCTCCAAGACAGAGTGCTGACTTTTGGCTTGTGTCTGACACACAGTGTTTCTACAGTGTGCTGAGGAAGTCACAAAGCGTGACTGAGACAGGGGGGTGTTAATTTAGCTGTATATTTAGGTGACTGGCTCCTTCTAGTGCAGTCAACACAGGAAGTGACAACACAAATGTCAAATTTTAAGATGCAATCCGAGCTTCATAATAAACACCGAAAAGTGTGTACAACATGCACCTTTTCTGGGTTTATGCCTGAACTCAATCACCTTTACAGCCTTTCAGTTACGAGAGTGAAGGTGTTCAGAGCCTGGACTGTGCCTTCAGTCACTGAGGCTGGAGATGCAAACCAAAAGAAAGACAAATCTAAGTTTAGCCATTTTCTTCTTCTCATTCTGTTCACATCTATGGGAGTGTTTTCAGCTTGTTACAGTCAATGTGTTAGAGGCACTAAACTAACAGTATTTTTCCAGAAGCTGTTTCTGTAGTAGATAAAATACACAGTAAGACATAACTAACACTTAGCATCACTGCCAGGTCAAATATCAAAGGCTGCTAAAGCCTATTGGCTGTGTGCAACTTCTTAAGGGCGAAGAACAATATAACTGGTATCACATTACAAAAAATTCTAACAACACATTTTTTACCAAATTTCTAAACATTTTCTGTACAAGTGTCTTTTGTTTTTATTGTAGCCGTTGCCCACCTGGTTGTTAGGGCTGAGGTTGAGTAGTCTCCATGACGAGTACATGAGGTCAGAGAAGTGGTAGAGGAGCCGCAAACGGGCCCTCACTGCCTCGATGCTCACTTCTTTAAGCCCACTGTACTGAGGAGGCACTGCTGCTGGCAGGCCAAGCTGAAGAGGTACAGATGAGCCTGAGGAAGATTAGAGTGAGATATGATCACCCTGAACACTGAGAAGTGTGGGAAGAAAAGCCGACTTTTTCATTCACAACAAAAGTTAAAGAGATTTTCTGCTGTCACAGTTATGCTAATTATTGTTTGTTGTGGCAGCCATCCAAAGCTCTGTCTCTAATCCCTTTGACATATTTTCTATGTGATGTGGTTTATAAGGCAGGTTTCTAAGCACAATACATAAAAATAAAACCATTACGCTCTGGTATTTTGTAAGTTCCAGCAGCACAGCAGGAAATCTGATATCTGGGAGAAAGTATCAAAATATCAGGAGGCATTATGTGAATTTTGTGTGTCTGTGTAACCTGGTGCTCGAGGCGGAACAGAGGGAGCCGTCCACGCTGCACTATGACAGCGTCCAGCAGAGATCTGATGGATGTTCTTGCCCTGCAGCGTTGTTACCAGTGTAGGTTCTCTAACATGGTTGGTGTGTCCCAGACCCAGCTGCACAACACAGTCATAAGTCAACATTTAAGAATAAGTGTGTATAACAGCTCAAGATCAATTCTGAAAATAAATCAAACCAGGAATGCAAACAATGCAATGTAGGGCTGGGCCATATTATACCGTTCACGGTAATACCGGTATAATGTTAGGCAACGATAGGAAAATGAAATATCGCGATAGAATGGGAGTAAAACGCGCATGCGCAGTGCCTTTGTTTTCATACGCACATGGCCGATTGTTGAGTGAAACAGATGAACCAGAATTGGTTTGTAAAAATGGTGCAACTTCAGTGATGTGGAACTGGTTTGGTGTTTGTCCGTCAGATACACAACAAAGCACATTTTTTTGCAGAACATGCAAGCGGCCGTCGTTATTGTCGGACTAAGATGCTCTTAAATCTGGGAGTAATCTGGGTCCTAAACTCCGTATCTTCAGGTCAAACAACACTGCAGCATCACTGAGAGTTAAAAACTGTCTAAATTCTTTCATCTTTAATAAAACGATCAGCATTGCTGCTTTACCAGGTGTAACTATGAAGTTTAACTTCCAGGCATCCATGAAAACAAAAGTTATTACATTTAACGGAGTTAGAAGTTAGCAGGAAGCTAGCGGAAGTTAGCTCGCTAGTTTCGCTAGTTACCTAAGCATGATATAGCATGTTCTGACTGAGAGATTTCTGAAAAAATTCAAACGTACAGCTCTGCTATCACTTCCAACATAAATGAAGACAGGAAACTAAACAGCAGTGACGTTTGTAGGGTTACTGAAGTTGGGCTAGCTGGTATATAATGATGTGCTACGTGATCGCTAGCGACACAGCTATGTTAGCATAACATAAACAGTGAAGCTGGAGGACGAACACTAACACTTTTCCACTTATAAAAGTTAACGTGAAGGTTCCTGATGGTTAGAGACAAATGCAATCGCATGGCAGGATGCTGTAAACGGACCAAACTTCAGTCAGGAGAACAACTGAGATAATCCATCCACAATACGAGGTTAGTCATTAATATACTGCAACAACATGGGAATAGAGCAGCTGCCAGAGAATTCAACATTAATGAATCAATGGTACAGAAGTGGAGGAAGCAAGAAGAATGAGTTTAATAAAGTTTGATTTATCTGACTGCTTTGTTTCGCTTAATGTGCCTTATAATCCCGTGCACCTTATGGTCCGAAAAATACGTACTGCACACTGCAGTTTAATGTTGCAAAGCACCTCTTTTTAACTTCAGTGGATATTATACATGGTTATGCTCAGGATATGTCAGCCCATTTCTACTGGAAATGCCTTTTGGTTAAACTTTCAGCAAGGAATTTGCATTTGCACTGTTACATTTTTATAAAGCTTTAATGTACATAAAAACCAGCTTCTTGTTTAAGTGAAAATAAATGGAAGGTTGTCTTTTTGCGCTAGTAATGTTGTGGAGTTGTATTTTGTCTCGCATCAATTATATCGTCAGTTATATCGTTATCGCAAATTTTCAAATATATATCGTGATAAATATTTTTGGCCATATCGCCCTGCTCTAATGCAATGTTAGTATTACCCTGCTGATGATGTGTTGTTGCAGTAGCAATCCTGCACAGTATGAGAGGCACAGCAGGAATTCTGCTTAGACTCAGTGATACTGTAGCACTCTGGATCTTTTAGTCTAAGATAGCTGGCTGAGCGTTTTGTGACTGCTGGACGACAGGCGCCCCTCTCCAGTTGCACACTCAGTTTTGTGGAGAACCTCGTGCTAAATATCTTGCAGATGACCTGATTCTGGGTCCTGTGCGAAGCAGAGCAGCTAATCGCTGCTACAACTGAAGGGGTGGCTGTAGCTCAGGTCATCTGCTGCGTTTGATCCCTGGCCGCTGTATGCCAAATATCTGTGGGCAAGATACTAATTCCAATGCTCTCCAAGACAGAAGCACTTAGATCACTAGAAAAAGTTCAAGTTCTATAAAGCGTTATATAAGAACTAGTCCATTTACCAGCCTGGTTCTGCTGAAGGTGTCGTCCTGCTAAAAGCGAGTTTTTCCTTCCCCTGTCACTAAAGCACTTGCTTGTAGAGTTTTGTTGAGGTTTTCTCTGTTTGTATTATTGTAGGGTCTTTACCTCACTATATAAAACACCTTGAGGCGACTGTGTTGTGATTTGGTATATAAATAAAACTGAATTCAACTGAACTGAATCTACCAGTCAGTGCAGAGGCCAAGGATGGGCCAAAGACTTCTCTTAGGAGCTTTGAAACACTGAGAGAGTCCCTGCTCATTGGGGGCAACTCATTCTTTTTCTTAGCATTTACAGACCACTCTCAAAATGATCATTTACTAAGAGTTTAGAAAAGGCTATGACTAAGCAGATTACACCAGTCTTAAACAAAGACAGTGTGCTGGAGACATTTCAATCTGGGGCTCATTCTGTTCTTTGAGTGTCCAGTGTCATTTTAATGCAAAGTGACGCTGGAGAATATTCTGATGTTAAACGCTACGTTTGATACCGTCCACCACCATACTTTCCTTGACAGGCTGAAATATTGGGGTGGTGTATCTGGTTCTGCTTTGGAGTGGTTCACATCATATCTGTCTGAATGATACTTTTCTTTGGCTGCTTCTGAGTCCTCGTCCTTTTATCTTAGCTATTGTGTGCCACAAGGCTCTCTATGTGTGTAATATAAGATAGATGACAAGGCTACATTTTCAGTAAATCCATTTACTTCAAATAAGATAAGCAGCAAACAGTCTTATTGAGATTTTGACACTTATGTTCCCACAAGCATTGTATGCATGTTACCTGTCCCTCCGAGTTGCTGCCCCAGGTGTAAACATCTCCTGTGGAGGAGAGTACCAGAGTGTGTTCAGCTCCTACAGCGACATCCTGGATGTGGATCCCTGAGAGACCTGGTACCTGTTGGGGCCGGTTGTGGTTCCTGGCTCGACCCTCTGGCAAGCCAATTAGGCGGTCTTCAACAAAAAAAGGTAAAAATATATTTGAATAATATGGCACGGAAAAAATCTCACTTTGACTTCATGGTGAAAACTCAATTGTGTAATTGTCATAATCAGTGTTAAAACCACTAATGGCCAAATCTAAATATCACACTCATTTTAATATGTTATATAATAAACTACTGTTTTCACTAGCATTCATTAATATGATTATAGATTATTGTGTTATTAATATCCCGTATAAAATAAGAAAAATGGGACTGAGGGGTTTGTGGGTTTCAGTTTTGTCTTATGGAGTTTATAGAGCACCATAATGTCACTAACAGAGGTTTCTATCTCAGGGCGTACATTATTATTTTTGCATTCATACCATCAACGTGGTTTTTGCACAATCACATTTAGCTTTGGGTAGAGTGCAGTCACAGCGGTTTCATCTCACTGCTGCATTTTAAATGTAGAAAAAAAACACGGTCATGTTGCTCTAAACCATAGGTGTCAAACTCTGGCGGCCGGCAGCCTAATTACATTTGGCCCGTGAAGCCACACCAAATTCCTATCAGAGCTGGCCTGCTGGTATTATACAGCTAATATATACATTGTTTAGTATTAAGCTTTGCTTGTTCCATATTCAGTTTTTCAGCTAAACGTGTTTGAGTCCATAAGAAAAGATTCATCCTCATAGCTGAAGGAAGATTTTTTTTCAGTAAATATTAACGTTAGCCCGCGACTTTGTTCCAGTTTGAATTTTGGCCCACTGTGTATTTGAGTTTGACACCCCTGCTCTAAACAATAGAAAGACAGTACTAAGAGTACTTCTATTAAACCTGTGGGCTTCTGCAAATACTTAAATACTGTGACCAATGACAATCTTTTAAGTCACATACTGACCACCTGTTAAAGAAACTGAGGCTGAAGTTGGGGTACTTTTTCACAAACAGATGATTTCTCTCCTGCAGCAACCCCCCGGGTTTAAGGTATCGTTCATCAGCCCTCCTGCTCACTCCCAGTTTATCATGAGGCATTAAGATACTTAACTGGCTGTAAACCTTTAACACATCAACATTCTTTGGCTGATTGGTATATCTATAAATCATTTTCTGGTTTTCCATTCTATTCACTGTTCCATCAGTTCGTGCAGAGCTTGGAAAAAAGGCCTCCTCATTTCCTGCCCTGTTATCATGGACCACGTTACAGCGCAGCTCTCTCAGATGGCATCGCTTGCAGAGTTTAAAAGATCTATAAACGATTTTATGAATCTGTCACTGGGAATTTTTTATGTGATTTTGTAAATCTTGGACAAGTTTCACCATTTTAGTATGCTTGTCTGAAACAGATCATGTAATGAGAAAGGGAGTCTCAAATAAAAATTAAATAAAAATAAAAGTCCAGGTATTAGCTAATATGGGCGACATGGCAGTAGGGCTGCCACGATTAGTCGACTAGTCACGATTACGTCGATGACTGATTTAAATGAAAAGAACGCCAGGCAGAGGTATTTAACATAAAATAGATCTTTATTGTAGGCAAACACCTCAATAATCATATAAATGGCAACAACAAAAGGAGACAGCACCGCTGCTTTAATGAGAAATCAGGGAGGTCAACCCAAAGTGGTAATGACCACTTCAACAAAGAAAGCAACAATAAGGCTTCAACAGAAAGAGACAGCAACGCTGCTAGCAAACAATATCCAGGCAGGCCACACAAACGTCGTTTGAAGCTTTGTAAGATCGCAAAAGACGCAGGAATAAGTAGCAGGATTTAAGAGTGTAATAACGGACTGAAACAGAAGATGGCAGCACTGCATGTACAAGGATGCCAGCTGCCGTTAAACACCGAAGAAGAAGAAGCAGCTGTGTCCCAGAATTCATAGCGCGGCCCAGCTTAGTTTCCAACAATGGCGGCAGCTAGTTAGTTTTAATATTACTCTTATTATTCTTTCTGGGTCACAAAATAAACGTTTAACATATTTCAAGGGAGAATGTAGCTGTGTAAACCTCAAATATCTGCTCAGTTTATCAGGACACCGCATATTTTCAAAAGCGCTCCGACGTTTTCAGAGACGACCCACTAGCTCGATAGCTAGCCGGGGGCTAGGTCACTAGCGCCGTGAGAACACCGGACTCCCCGCAAATCATTTTCAAACCCGCCGCCGTCTTTCGCTACTCAGGTTAAACATGATATATGAGTCACTTAGATAACTTAAAATGTTATTGTTTGGCGGTTTTTTAGTATTTTATTTGTTCCTGAGTAAATCGGTTTGGCTGAGATTAAAGTTATAATTTTCACACAGCTGAATAAACGTCAAGCAGACAGCTGATTATCAGAAGTGTGAGATGCTGGAGAATATACTCCGGTGTCCTGTTATATTTTAGATAGCAAGGAGTTTATTAAACTTCACCGAAATAATCTACAAATTTCATAAACAATCTACAAATTTCATTACAATTTAATAAACTATCATCTTGTCTTTATTTTTAGTTAGCACAGACCTTAAACACTTAAAGCTGTAAGCTAATGATAGTTATATAAGAGCAGATGCTGCTGGTGCAATAAGCTGAACGATGATGATCTGATTAGTCGACTAATCGCAAAAATAATCGTTTGTGGCAGCTCTACATGGCAGCTAGGTCTGTCTTTAAGACTCCAACGTGGGTGAGAGAAAGGCTGAGAACTCAAACTCCTCAGCAAAATGTTTTATGAAGTCGTTGATCAAGTGAGCTATAAGAACATTTGCCTACAGACTGGCCTTTAACAAGAATGCAGATTTAAGGCAGTTATAGATTAACTTTGTTTTTAAACCTGGAATTTGCAAAGCTTACCTTGGCCAAACGTGAAAACCTTGCCATCTTTGGTTAAAGCCACGGAAAACTGAGTTCCACAGGCTACTTTTTTTATACCAATCCCACACAGCATGTCCACTTTCTAAGGATTTCAAAACAGATCAGGGTCACAAACAGTTTCACTGTTTGATAGGCCAACAGATTAACTTCAGTTCATTGATCAGCCATCACAATGCAGCAGGTACCTGAGGTGAGGACTTGGCTGTGGAATTCCCAAGTCCCAGTTTCCCGTAGTCTCCATCGCCAAAGGCCCAAACCATCATTCCATCAGCAGAGACAACTAAAGTGTGGTTCAAACCACAAGCCACCTGAGGAGGGAGCACACGACAACACCAACTATCAATAGCTAAGATAAGGCTGGACAACTGAAAATAATCAAAACAATTAGAACTCAAAACTGCCCCAAAGTAGTTCCAGCAACCAGAAATAATCTGCAAAATGTCACAACACCTAGAGCACAATCATATTACTGTAAAAACCTTAAAAAATTAGCTGATGGGGTTGGAAGGTTGGTAGCTTGATCGGCTCCAGTCTGTATGCCAAATATCCTTTGGGCACAACACTGTGTGTAAACGTGTGAATGTTAAACAGAAAGCATGTGCTCGTATGAGCCCTTTGAGTGCCCAGGCAGAGTAGAAAAGCTCTATAAAAGAACCACTGAAATATTTATTTCACAGTGTTTTTTGAATGTCCACAATCAGCATATAGCACCAGTGGACACATGACGACTGATGTCTTCATATTGTTCTCCAGTATAGAAAACAGTAACAGTACAGAAATCCTCTGAATGTGCTGCGTATCCAAGCATTTCACAGACACCAACTGTAACAGTAATGAACGTCTTACCTGTCCTACATGGTAGCCCTCCAGAGCAGTGACCTTCTCTGGCAGCTTCTTGTTTGAGGTGTTCCCCAGCCCTAGTCTTCCATAATCACCATTACCAAAAGTGAAAAGCTTCCCATCAGCTGTGACTACGGCCGAATGTTTGAACCCGCAAGACATCTAAAGAGTGAAGAAAGCACAGAGTATTGTAACTGAAACTGCCTATCTCTATGATGTTCTTGTTAACCCCAATAAAGGTGTGCAGAATAAGGAGGAGAAGCGTGACCCAGAGAAACCTTAATAGATATATGACAGAATTCTGCAACAGCAAAGATAGTGTTGGAAGTCTAACCTTCAAGAGAAAAAACTTATTTTTGGCTCAAAGTAGGCAAACATGTTTTATTGTTTCCCACAGAATTACACTGTACACCGCTCAAAAAAGATTAAAAGAACACTTCTTAAGGAGACTCTAGCCAGAGTACAACATCTGGAATACTGATCAGTTAAGTAGCACAGAGGATGTTTTTGTGTTAATAAAATCAACAACAGGGTGGCTGTGGCTCAGGTGGTAGAGCAGATCAGCTACGGAGTGGAAGGTTGGTGGTTCGTGCCAAATATCCTTGGGCAAGATACTAACCCCAAGTTGCCCTCCGATGCGTTCATCGGTGTGTGAATGTTGGTTAGTTTGGACTTGAGCTTAGAAGTGCTTCTAGGAGTGGGTGTGAATGGGGAGAATGAGGCATGTTGTATACAGCGCTTTGAGAACATCCCAGCTTCATAGGTGGAAGCCACTGACAGATGAAGAGGGGAGTTTTTAGTGTGGTGGGTCCTGGTTCCTCTGGGTGCATGATGATGTCAGGTCTCATGTGCAGACAGTATGAGAGAGCAGGCTGTTCCCAGAGGATGAACTGCCATTGACTGGCCCCCACGCTCGCATAACCTAAATCCAGTATTACACCTCTGAGATATTGTGTTTTAGTCTATCTGAACCTCAGGTTGTCTCTCCAAGAGCTCAGTCATGCCCCGGTACAGATCTTGGAGGACATCCCACAGCACATGGATACACAAACTATTCAATTTAACTCCATTTTGTTGATACATTTAGATACATGTGATATATCCAGTATACATATTTACTTATATTTATAAGGCAGACCTTACAAACTAGTGAGTACCAATAAAATGTATACCCGGTCACATCATTGTCTGAATTCAGCCCTCTGTACATATCCTGCATGATTTTTTTGGGTACTGTGGAATTGAATAAAATCAGTGCTGTCAGCATTAATCTTGTTAAAATGACGTTAATGCCATAACCGCATTAACACTGTAAATCTCTGTTAGCGAGTTAACACAGATCGCCCCGTGCGAGGGTCTGCACGGCACTAACGCATTGATTAGCTAACTGCGCTAACGTATTAATGCCGCGCATTCCCCCCCCCATAACCGTTAATGCAGTCATGGCTTTAATGTCAATTTAACGAGATTAACGCTGACAGCACTAAATGAAATATATTTTTAAGGAGGGTGGAGACTTACCTGGACCACCTCCTCTCCTTGCAGTGCCTCAATCTGTCGGGGCCGTCGCTGGCGGTCACTGTTTCCATGTCCAAGCTTGCCGTAGTCACCGTCTCCCCAGCTGAACACCTCGCCGCTCTCTGTCAGAGCCATGGAGTGACCATCACTGCCACAAGATGTAACCAACTGGGTCACAACAAAACCTGGTAAGAACGAAAAGCACATGACAGGGTTTATGTCACCAATCCGCTGACCAAATGTTCTTTTAGCTCTATATTTCGTGCACACCAGCTACCACAAATAATTTGCCTTTTAGCCGTTAAGCGTTCTGCTACATTCAGCTGGCTTTGTGCCTGTGTGTTTGTTACTTTTGGTTGTGTACAGGTGTTGTCATGTCACCTTGAAGAGCTGAGATGACAGTAAGGACATGCAGGTCATCTGAGTTGCCTTGTCCCAGGCGGCCATAGCTCCCCTCTCCACAGGCCAATACGGTGCCGTTGGGCTGGATCACAAAGGTGCAATTCTGCCCACACACCACCTACAAGAAACGAGAATGTGAACGAGTAATCACAGGTAGAAATAAAATACAGCTCACGCTGCTGTTTTAATTATAGAAACAAAGTTCAAAAAACAATATGTCCAGTAGTTTATGTCTATGTACCTGCTGTGCCTGAGAGAAGGAAGGGGCAATGGTTGGAACGAGGATATTTCTTCCAGCCTCTGCTAGCTGACCGTGTCGCCCTGCACCCCACAGAAACACGTCGCATTTCCCTCCGAGGTGCCAGTCCTGATCATGAACCCAAACATGAAAAATGGAAGAAAAGAATCGGGTTGAAACTAGATGTGATATTAAAATCATGAGGTAAGGATTTGGTTGTCAATTTTTGAGATCAAGAAACGTGTTTGTTGTGTGGAAATATCCACCTTCTCACCTGGCCTGACATCCCTCTTACTTGCCATCACCCTTCAGTTAAGCTCACTGTTGTTAATGTTGTGATTTTGGCTGATTGAGACACTTTTTACACCATTTTACTCAAAAATACAGAGCAAATATTCTGTGACTGTCTTACTGTTTCACAATGACCTCTTGCTCTCTTTCTGCAGTCAGAGGTATTAGCAGCAGATGAACCTGAGGTATCAATTTCAACATCCTATGTTGCCTTGTTGTCAAGTTACCAGAATTTCAGAAAACTTGACCTCTGACCTTGATCTTGAGGTCGACTTCACTGAAATTCTAATTCATCTAAGTTTTTTAGTAGACACCTACGGTTTCAGTTTCAAACTCCTACATTACTACATTACTTCCACGTTGCTTCCCTGCCTGCTCGGCAGCGTGACAGCAGTACTGCATCAGCCTTTTACGCCGAGGGCTAAAAAACCAAAGCTATGATCACTTGTACCTAAATAAATAGATATTTACAGCAGCGGTCTCCAACCTTTTTTGCGCCATGGACCGGTTTATGCCCGACAATATTTTCACGGACCGGCCTTTAAGGTGTCGCGGATAAATACAACAAAATAAAACTAGTACCGGTACTGAAAAAAAGAAGATTTATTCATAACACACGTGAAAAGACCAGGAAAACCGAGTTAACGATAAAAACGATAACAAAATAACGCTGAAAACCGATAAAAACCCTGAAAACCAGACATTTCACACCTGAGCCTCAACTCTCGCGGCCCGGCACCAAACGACTCACGGACCGGTACCGGTCCGAGACCCGGGGGTTGGGGACCACTGATTTAGAGGACTGTAGTTGGATAAAAAAGGGAGGGCTGAACGGGTCACACCAAAAAGTGATTTCAACAATTTAAACTATTGTAAATGACTTGGTCTAAAATCTGTTAAATATCTCTTGATTGCCATCAGCTCATTTTGATCATATCCCCATCGCAAGGTAAACTCTGCAATCGGTTTTGGGCAAAGTGACTTTTATATAATCTATAGCAGCAGAAACAAACATAACAGTTCTATAAAGATATTTTAGCTGTAAACAAAACCATAAGTACTGATTATAATGCAGAAGATAGAGTAGGTGCAATACTGCAATCATAAAGATACTTGCAAAACGTGTTGTACTTTATCTCCCCCTGTAACTCCACATTACTCCACATTATTTATCAGTATAGGTAAAGACATAAAAACTATACAGAAACATTTGAAATCACTTTTTGGAACAACAAGGCAGAGGCGGTGTGTGACTGCGGTGTGTGACTGGGTGGACTGCTGGCTGCTCTGAGTATTGGGGGAGCTGTAGCTGAACTGAGCGGAGAGTTCAGAGTGTGGAGAACGAATCTGAGACAATAGAGAGGGAAATGAATTTGGTTCAAATCTAAGGAGCAGAGTTATCGAGGTGAAGCTCAAGAGAGGCAGAGCAGTGTAAGCACTGGATGAGAAGCCAAACACATCATCCAAAATAACTTCTCATAATGTTCTTCTTCTGTACTAATTAAGCCATTTATATGTGTTAGCTTTTGTGTTATATTTGTTTATTATTGTATTCTAATATGTATTTTAACCTTCTGTAATGAAACAATTTAATCTTCCTCTTAAACATTTCTAAAAATCCTACCTAAAACCAGAAAAATCATATGAAAATAAGCAGCTAAACTTGTTCCAGAAATGATTCCTCTGCCATTACTACATACTGCAACAGCAGTATAAAGCGTATAAAGCAGTACCCCCGGGAGGGGGGCCATTTATTTCACCTAAACTGTCAAAGTTACCTCTGGCCTGGAGGTGGCCCATGACATGATCTGTTCATCCATACTAGCTGACCATTTACTGTTGTCCTGTAGAAATAAAAGCAAAGGCTGCTGTTATGAGCTGCACAGGTTTTGATTACATTCTAAATTACAGTTTAATCAGCTTTGCTCACCAGGAGCAGAGCCATTTCATCTTTAGGCACGGGTTCCAGGTCAGGAACGGAGAAGGACTCGGGGAAGGCTGCACCTCGAGCAAGAGCCTCTGCCGCCTTTACTGTGGTGGAGAAACAGTCCAACCATGCCCACTCGCTGGCGCTCCATACAGCGATGCCAGACTCAGGTGGGCAGTGTCGAAGGTGGGGCGGCACAGGGGGACGGCACAGAAGCTGGTCCAGATGGAGACCTACAGCCAGAGAGGCAAGGCACTGCATGTACGGGCTGTGGACAAGCTGCTCCCCGCATACAACATGGGGCTGGAAGTAGAGAGCAAAGAGAGACATTATTAGTGTCAAATACTATTAATCTGTCATGAATAGTTCAAGTTTGCTTGGATTGGCTTTTATTTTTTTCTCAGAGTTCTCCAACACAAATAGAGCTGAAGAAGAAGGTTTTTTCAGCCCAAGAAAGAAACATGGTGATATAATCATCTAGTACAAACTCTGACTTCTAGTAGGGGCTATATCATATCTCCCTTTACCTTCTCATAGGCATACTGCTCCTGCAACATGACAGGCAGTCTCTCCAGGAAAGCTCTCATGCAGGGTGCCAAGTTGAGGCCGACCACACCTTGCTTCTTCAAAGCCGTGCGGCAGGTGGCCAGCACATGGTTAGATGCCATGAACTCTTTGGAGCAGTTCACAACCAACACATCCTGGAAATCAAGCCATACAAAAGGCAAATGAAACTTAACTGAGGACAAATACAGTCATACAAAATGACGGAGACAATGGAGTCAAATGAGACAACTTGCCTTTGACCTGTTGGAGCAGACGGCCACGCCCACATCTGAGACCCAGACAATGTTCTGGACAGCCCCTGACCCAGCTACCACGGTCTGGAGTACTGAGCCATCCTGTTGGAAATGGACACACACACACACACACACACACACACACACACACACACACACACACACACACACACACACACACAGTGTGCTCAATGGAAAGCCATTCAGTGTCACTATAAACAGCAGCTTCATTCACCAGTGTAATTAAGTGTCATGTGTTCTTTCCATCTATATATTTCCAGTCATCTGTGTGTGTACTTACAGTATTTACATATGAACTATGTGCCTTCATTTCCATCTGTGTGTATATGTATGTTTCTTACCCGCAGGGACCAGATGTTCATGAGGCCTCCCACTCCTCCAGATGCCAGGGCCAGACCATCAGGACTGAAAGCCAGTGTTCTTACTGGAGTGATGTGGCCCTTTAGCTGGAACACACAAACTGCTCCATCTTCTGACCATCGGGTGGACTGCTGCACATCAATGATAGCACATTGAGGTTGAACAACACATTAACCTATTGCTCAAAAATAAAGCAAAAGAAACTCAGCTGCTACTGGATGACTTTGGCTAAAGTGCTTTTACAGTAGAAGTTAAAACACACAAATACCATTAACTTGGGTTTGGCTTCATTCTCCCACCATCCTTCTGAATCAGAGGAACAGGAGTCTGTGAAGTTTGAAATGTCTTGAGGAACAGTCCAGACAGAGACCAGACCATTCTGGCAGCATCTGAAAAGCATAATGACCCATAACAACTTTTTTTCCTCAAAATAATCATTTTGTGTGGAGAAACAACAAAAACAGCAGAAGTGAAATCACAAAACCCAAAACAGAGGGCGCATTCAAGGTCAACGTACACGGCGAACATGCTGAGGGGCTTCGGACTGCATCCAGGCAAGCTGCACCAGGCCACACCATTAACCAAGGAGGGGTGTCTAAGGCTCTGTAGGCAGTGCCAGCCAGAGCCCGTGTCAGAGCAGGAGTCTGGATTGGCCCACAGTTTCACAGTCTCCTCTTTAGCACACGTCAGCAGGATCTGACCCGTTGGACTCCACTTCATGCTGCTGATCGACTCCTGACAAAAAGATTTGGAATCACTGTCAGCTATAAATGTCCATCTAATCCATCTAGCTGACAGTAAAACAGCTCGCTCTTTTTGAAATTTAAATGAAAGAATCACAACATAAACAGAATGATAAAATTACTCCACCTTGTGCGCATCAATGACAACAATGGCTCCTTTATCCAAAGGTTCTTTGGATCCAATCAGCAGCTTTCCATCTGCGTAGCCAACGGCAAAAGGCTTGTCTTCACTGTACCAGGCAATGTGCATTATTGCCACTAAAGGAGAAAAAAACCTTCTGTTTTTCTTTCAGTTACACAAGTAAATATCAAAGATGTGGTTGAACCTGAAATAAAACTCTCATACCGTCTTTCCTGTAGCAGTGTTCCAGCTCTGTGCGGTGCATACCAGAAGAGTCCAGCACCTCGATGAGGCCCAGTGATCCATCCATTCGACCCACCAGCAGCATGTCTTTGGGCTCCCCACACCACAAGGACTCTGCTTCCTCTTCAGGCCAAGTTAGTGCAGACACCCAGTGAGGCTGCACATCCAAAAGCCCTTTACCACCTTGGAGACAATGAAAGCAGATCCATGATGACATTTTGTATAAGATATATCATACTTATGTTGACAAATGCCCAAGTATACTTGGTTTTAATGTTCCTTTTAGGTATTTTATATAGGGGTTCTGATGTCTTTCAGCTGTCTGTGAAGGAACATGAGAGCTTCCTGCTTATACAGTTGGACAAACTCCAACACTGCAGTCTTGGAGTGAGCTGTCGTTTCCGTTCTTCCCTGCAGATTCACTGTGAGATGGATGATGACTTTGTTGCCACAATGTATCAACTTCTTTAACGCTGGGCTCACACTGTGTGATTTTTGGCCCATTTTGAGCCGATTTTTGAGTCGTGCGACCGTTTTGGCGATCGGCCCGATTTTGGCCTTCATCGTGCATCGTGTAGTATACGTGGGGTAACGAGAAGCGATTAACACCTCAGGGTGTCACCGCAGCTTCTCACACTGCTCACGTGCAAACACATAAACGTCGGTGATAAAGACGGAGCAGCACAGCTGTGCAGCGTGTGATCTGGACACAAGCGATGGAGGCACAACTTGTAGAACTTTGGAAAGCTCCTCCGAGCCTTTTCGATGTGGCATCACAAAATTATCACGACCACAACAACCGTGAAAATAGTTGGATTTACATGCTGCTCAATCACAGCTGCCTGATCATGTTTTTCATTAGCAATTTAGCAAAGCTGATGGTGGCGGTGTGTCTGTGTGAGTGAAAGACAGAGAGACAGATTTTCTGTTATAACCTTCATGTTATGGAGGCACAGGGTGAGCACTCGGGTCGCATCAGAGCATCGGGCCGTATAGGGTGAGACCTGCATCGCGACCTACCAACTTCTAACCTCTGCGAGTCAATCGTGCAGTTTGAGCAGGAGCTGAATCACACGACTGAAAAAAATCGCACAGTGTCTGCCCGGCATAAGAAAGCATGAACTGCTTCTTTTTATGCAAATGCAAAATTATGTTAAAAAAAACCAGTCAAAAAAGACGAGGAGGTTAAAATTTCAGTGGCCCCCACCTGTAAAACCATTCCTTTTTTCGGGGGTTTGTCTCATCGTTGCCCTTCTAGTGTACCTGCTGTTAATTCATTAACACCAAACCAGGTGAACGTGATTACACCTTCTATTAACCCCAGTAACAGCTCTGGACAGATGGTTCACAAAGCCAGGTGTATGGTGAGGGGCAGAAAATGATGCCTGGAACACATCCGGTGACCATTCAGTTTTATTTTTAACAGAAGACCTCTCATTCATATGCTGCAGGCCTCCGTCACCAGTGATACGAGGTGAGCCACAGATTATAGTGAAACAAGTCCTGCAAAACTCAGTGAAGCTCATCATTAACATATTCAATAACCCCCAGAGAAGACTGGACAAAATGAACTCTTTACCATTAACTTGCCAGATGTTGACCATTTTCTCCATGGCAGAGGCGAGATACTTTCCAGTGACACTCCATGCAAGAGGTGACAGGCAAGGATCGCTGGGAGACCCCAAACCAGACATTCCCTCCTCCAAAGAGTCGTCACTAGTGAAAGATAAGATAAAAAAACAAAGTTAGAACTGTATTGAAGTATCTGACACCTTTGGGAGCACTCAAACTTATTTAAAGTCTCATCTAAAAGAACTTTATACAATGATGAAAACTATTTTTTTCTTTTGTAAGGAATGATGTGTGATTCTGTGAAAGAGGCTCATGGGACAGGAGCCTTCAGGACCTGCCTCAGCAAACTGCCAAAGGTCAGGTTGGTTCGATTCCTTGAGAAACGAACCAAAAACATTTGTCCCACAGGGATCGTTAAAAGGCATCTTAATTCTCAAACTGGTAACTGAGTTTCTGATGGAGAAAAAAGATTTATTGGGGGGAAATAAATACAAACTGGACCAATTACAGCAAGATGTCACTGTTTAGCTGTGTGGGATCCTTAAAAAAAACCTTACTCCTTATTGAAGACGCAGGTCTGCTGGAGGGTGTACTGGCTCTTGGTTACGTTCCATACTCTGACCGTCCCATCATTGCCACTGGTAGCCAAAAGGCCTTTCTTACTGCACCAACCACATGTGATGACCTGAAGCAACAAGAGGAGGATTATTTTAACTACCAATCAGAAATGGTGCAAACAACCTCACTGTATAATACAGAAAAAGACCAAACTACCGACCCTGCTCTGGTGAGCCTCTAGTTTGATAAAGGAGCACTTTCGCAGGTCCCCTGCCATGTCAGCAAAAGTCTGCGGACGGTTCTGGTTGTTGTCGCGGTCGTGGGCGGCCAGAGTGCGAACTAATTGCTGAGCACCCCACTGGCGATGCTGCGAGGAAAGCCGTGAGGACAGGCAACAAGCTGCCAGAGCGTTGGCCAGCTCCAGAGGGCCTACAGCGGAAGGATTATGGGAAGGATGGGCATACAAATGCGCAATTAGACCTGCTCGACACGGAACACAAAGTGACAAGAATGCCCGGTGAGTGAAAGAAGGAGCAACGATGAAAAGACACAAAAAGCACAAAAAATGTGAATATACAGAAGAAACTGGCACAAGCAGATGAGTTATGTCACCACTACATGAATTAAACGAATACGTGTATGACTGGTATCAGCACCAGGAAGAGCATTTTAGAATAAGCAGAAGAACATAAGAGCATCACAGAATCACTGTTCTTCTGAGTATAAAGTATATTTATGTGAACACAAACCACATTGAAATGACTTTTCTTTAAATATTAAGAAAAAGTAACACATCATAATATACCAATATGAGACAGAACTTCAAGGTAATCAAGATCAATTCCATGAAGTAAGAGAGAAACAATGACAGACAAAATGACATGGAACGGCCTTTTCCTCAGAGTCTACAAACCTCTTTTCTCCATATCAGCCTTGTCATAAGCAGGTCTCAGTCTGGCCCCTTTATCTGCCAGGAGGGCCACAAGGGCCTGAGTCACCACAAAGTTAGGCGACGTGACCAGCTTGTTCTCCTCGGCCACACCACGCAGAAAGCTGGGCAAGAACTTTCTCTGGATGGGGTCGTCCACCGTTGTCAGATTCATGCCTGTAGCCGCAGAGATCAGGTTCTGGATAAGAAAAGGGGGGAAAAGCATCACATCAATCAACATTTTTAAAGTGCAAGAAATAAATAAATAAGTAATCAACCCAACATACATTTCTTTACTTTCTGTGGACTTTATCACACCACCTCTGTATAAACTGATAATGACCAAAAATGTGGATTCATAAGACCTGTTGCTCTAGATTTTCAGACCAGTTCTCATATGAATTAGCAAACCTTAACCTTTTCTCCCAGTTTCCCTTCTTTGGCGATCAAGGATGGCCTCCTGACAGCCACCTTTGCACTGAGACCATTTCTGATGAGGCACTGGCAAACAGCAGATGGATCAACTGAACACCAGACCATCTCTTTCTTTGTAGGTCTTTACTGGACTTTTCCTATTTCTTAAGGCTGTGACTTCCCGGTACAGTTCATCTGTTGTAAACAGCTTTTCAGACCTGTACTTGTTCAGTTTACTCCAACTTTTTAAGGACACACTGCTCTACTCCCTCTACACTTCAGACTGTGTGGCCACCCATGGCTCCAACACCATTGTGAAGTTTGCTGACGACACAGTGGTGTTGGGTGCCATCTCCAACAACGATGAGGCGGCCTACATGGATGAAGTGAAGAATCTGGCATCGTGGTGCCAGGACAACCACCTCCAGCTGAACGTCAGCAAGACCAAGGAGCTGGTGGTGGACTTCAGAAGGGGTCAGCACAGAGACTACAAGCCCATATCATCAATGGAGCTCCAGTGGAGAGGGTGCAGTCCTTCAAGTATCTTGGTGTCCACATCTCCTCAGACCTGACATGGGCTGCCCACATTCAGGTCCAGACCAAAAAGGCTAGGCAGCGCCTGTATCACCTACGACAACTGAGGAAGTTCAGGGTCTCTCCAAAGATCCTCAGGATTTTCTATACAGGCGCTGTGGAGAGCATCCTCACACAGAACATGACATCGTGGTTTGGGAACAGCTGTGTGAAGGACCAAAAAGCTCTCCAGAGAGTGATCCGTACAGCAGAACGCTGCTGCAGGATTGCTCTCCCCCCGCTTCAGGACACCTACACCAGGAGATGCCGGACTAGAGCAGCGCAGATACTGAAGGACCCGTCCCATCCTGGCAACAAACTGTTCCAACTTCTGCAATCTGGTAGAAGGTTCCGCATCTTCCGGGCAAGGACAGAGAGACTCAAGAGGAGCTTCTATCCCCAAGCCATCCGTGCCCTAAACACACACACCCGCCCTCTCACATCATCTATAACTGACTGAGACAGGACTCTTCCAGACACTAAACCAAGGCACAATGTACATTTCAATTCCTTTAATTTTAAATATGTTTATATTGTCTATCCTGTAAAATAGTCAGATGTC